CATTCCTGTGCCAGGCAGCTGTTTGCCACTGGGGGCTCCCCCTGTGGCAGTTCTGTGCCCACCCAACCCCATCTCATGCCCTCTGTATTCCAGCCGGCCAGACCAGTGCAGGTGAGAGTGAAGCAGCTCTCAGGGTCCTGGCTGGACCTGACGCGGAGTCCCAGCACCACCATCCAGCAGATCAAGGGGGAGATTGAGCGCTTGTGGCACATCCCTCCCTACCAGCAGCGCCTGGCCCTGCAGGACACTGACCTAGACAGCCAGAAGGTCCTGGATGATAATGGCACCTTGGCATCACACGGCATCTTCTATGATGTCACGATCCTGCTTCTCCAAACCCAGCCTCAGGAAATGGAGATCTTCGTGAAGGGCCATGATGGCAGGACCTACACCTTTGGCGCCCGGCCTACAGACACCGTGCAGAACCTGAAGGCCAAAATCCAGGCCAAGCTGAAAGTCCCTGTGGACCAGCAGCGCCTCACGCACAATTCCCAGGAGCTGGAAGATCGCCACCCGCTCACTTACTATCACATCGAGAACCACAGCACCATCTACCTGCTCTTGCGTCTCCGCGGTGGGTGCAGATCTCCCAGAGCCCTCAGCCCCCCTCTTGCCACAGTGCTGTAGACTGGTAGCTGACTGTGGCCCATGGTGAGGACATGGCTTGCAGGAGATGCCCCAATCTCCAGGGGAATTCTATCGCATGCCACCTTTCACGGCTTTCCTAAGGCAGTTCATGCTCCTGTAGTCTCCCTATCCTCCCACAGGGCTCAGTCCACTCTGGGCACCATCTCCAGTGCCTCCCTACATCCCTCTTGGCACCTGGGTGACCCAGTTTGAACTGTGTTTTGGTGTAGCAGAAAGCCCCCTTTTCCTCTAGCCTGCATTTGCTCTCCCCTCTTTGGATCTGTTTCTCTTCTTCTACCTTTTCTTCCTTCCTCTTTCTTTCAGTATAAGATAAGGAATTGTGTTTTAACGTTTGTATGTGTGTATTTTGTATCTCCCCTTGTATTTTTATCTATTTGTGTGCCATGGCATTACTCTTGTAGCTTATATTTTATACTCCTCACCTTGTAACTAAATGTGTTTAGTTTCAGAAGTAAGTTATACATTGCAACAATGTTAACAAGGGCAGGAATCTAACTGCCCTGTATCGGGCAGGCCCCTGAAAGAGCGAGTGAATCAGTGATTGAATGTGTAACACAGTAGCAGGCGGCCTTTAACACCTAGGGAAGCCGCAGATAAACCAACGGAAGAAATCAATAGGAGACAATGTAGCAACCGGGAATTCTCTAAACTCACTGTTCAAGGGCTAGAAGCCCTGGTCTGAGTTAATCAACACCGGGGACCAACTTTTGGGATGAATATCTCCAGATCGACCGCTCCCAGAGCCCTATTCAAAATTCATCAACGGACTCCCAAACCTGCACGTACATGCGG